AAATAATTGCAAATTGTTTGTTTCTTTAAGTGAAAAATATTGAATATGATAGCAAAACCCCTACAAAAGTGAAACATCTTATCAATTTTAATGGTGAACAGTGCCGCTGTATAAGGACTCATTTTAGTAAAATTTTGAAATGTTTTTAAAATTAAAATTAGTTAAAAATAAAAATAATTTTTAACTTAAAAAAATAGTAAAATTAATAGAAATAAGACTTGAAAACAAATCTTAAACATAATTTGATAACAGGATAAAACATACATATGTAAAAACATATAATAAGTCTTACTTAGTCACATAAAACAATAAATAATATGCAGTTAAATATATTAAAAATATTTACAGAAAAAACAATTATAAATAATCAAAAATTTTTATTAAAAAAAAAAAACTATTATAAAATTATTTTATTTATATCAGCAACTGCTTAACAAAAGTGCTCAATGCAAAAGTATCTCTTGTCCCATACGACATATGATTCATCACAACTTCGAACATTTAAAAATAAAGCAGAACAGTTTATTAATTTATTAAAATATTAAAATGTGTTCTAAGGTTAACTTTAAAAAAATATTAAATATAATAGCTTCAATACTATTGCATCAACTGTCTATTACTAGATGAGACACGGGGCCCACAATTTTTTTAGCACCGCAATAATTCTGTAGTTATTTCTAGGAGATTTATATCTACTCACTTATAGTAAAATATATAAATAATAAATTCATTAAAAGAATCTGTTATTATCACTATGCACTGCTCCATGAATATAGTTAGATGTCAATTTGTATGGATAACGGCTTATGAGAGATGTAGTTATAGCTATATAACTACATATATATAATATATATATATAGTTAATGAAATCGTATATTCAAAAACATTTATGGAACTATTTTTCAAATTTTATGGAAAATGTATACATTCATAACAAAATAATATTTTACAGTTCGATTTTTTATTAAATGGTTTATTAAATTTAAATTTAATTAATTTTCTTGTCACAAAATATGAAAGAAGATAATCGTGCCGTGCGTTAAAAAAGTAATACTATTATTAGTAGTAGTAATATTAGTAATACTAATTTAATAAAAATAATAGAAGTATATGGAATATATAGATTGAATCTTCAATGTAAGCATTGGACCAAATTTTTTTATATTATAAATATCTTCTTAAGAAAAGTACATGTAAAATATTTTCAATTTCATTAAATAAATACAACAATAAAGAATTTAACAAGTTGTATGAACTCAAGCCCCCATTGGTCATTTAAGATTAGACAATGCTGAGGAATTAAATGCACCATACACAGCTATATCTGGAAGCTGTGGAAACTAATTTTACTAAATATAAACATAACACTCATAATCCATATCAACTATTTTAGTGTAGTAACCCCAACGAAAATAATGTCTTTTTTAAATTATTCAAATGTTACTCTAATTAAGTTTTAAAAATATAATAGTAAAATGTATTTATACACTTATACGATACTTTAGTTATAGCTTTGACAGCATCACACATCAACAGCTTCTTAACAAAAGACATTCATTAGATATTATTCTGTTTTTTAACAACCTGTTTGTGTACCTTCTATTTATTTAATGTCACAACTATTATGTAAAGTGTGAATAAAAATATCATCCTTCTCAATATTATGTCTACGTATGATATTATCCTTGAAATATTATATCTATATATGATATTTATATAAGTAATATAAGATCATCACACATTTAAACTCTTTTGACTCCAGTCGCTGAACTTTAGTAAACATGAAGCCGCAGCTTTGTTTCTTTTTATCTGTTTTATAAGTTCTGTATACGTCCGAAATGGTTACATTGAAGATTTTAATCCAGAATTTCTTAGTTACAACTTTTGCGGGCCTATGTATATGTAATTCGTGTAATTCGTGGTTACTTTAAACTGAACCCTAACTCCATATTTGATATTTTGTTTGGCCAGAAAATTTCTATAATACGACAATAAGTTCGACTAACAAATTTATGCAGAAGTCGGGAGCTACTGTTTAGGAATAATCGCCGATTATATTTCAGCCCTTATTTTCATACAAAAATGAAGCTTTAAAACATTTTTATTTTGGAGCCATAACGGATCTTCAGAGACTTCCATATTCTTTTAGATTTTCCAAAGGCTTATTTTGTATGTCTCGTTGACTATTCAGAATTTAGATACTTAATTAAGAATACATTCAAAGTCGAAAATATCTAATACTTATTCCACTTATTGTAGTCTTTAGATAAAACATAATTAAAAAATTAAAGCAATAATTATTTCTCTTGAATTTTGTAAAGAAAATATGTACAATTTCAAAAATTAGCCCTTTACTAAATATCCTGTATTTATATTGAAAATCCTTCATAATTTTATTATGCCAAATAACAGATATTTTTTATGTTTAAAATTATTAAAATTTATAAACAATATAAATTTAATATTTACTAAATATTCAAAATTAAGCACAAAAATCTTATTAAACACTTTCCTTTCTCTTTTTATCTATGGCTTTCTATGGCTTTAAATGGCATTTTTATATGCACTATTTTTAACATCAAAGAAGCCCCGCTAAGTCATAAAATCAAAATGAAGAAGTTGAACAAAAAATTTTATTTATATATATCAATAGCTTTATCTGAATAAATTTATATGGAATTTTTATGAATGACGACATTGTCATAAAAATATTCAAATGAAATATTCAAATTAGAATGTATAAATCTGATAAAAAAAAAAAATAGCGTAAAATATACCATACAAAGTAAATAGTTTTACATAAGCACAATAAACTTTAATTTAAATTAATATAGGAGAAAAAATATTCAATTATTATCAAAACTAAAAGAAATTCAATTGGTATTAATAAATATATTTTAATCAAAAGAATAAATAATAAATAGATACAATAGATCTTCAGATACTAAATTGAATTAAAGTTCATTATACTTTTGTACTGTTCTTTACTTCAGAAACTTCTATAATTTTTAATTGCAATTCTTATAATGGATCATTATATTAAAAATGTATAGTTACATTTTTCAGTAAAGTAAAACTAAATTGTATCTTTACTCATATTAAATAACAATTTCACAAAAAATTAATTAAAAAATTCTAGAACTACTACTCTACTGTAGAGCTACGATGACAAAAGTAAACAATATTTCCTGCTGTTATTTTAAATTAATAAATCATCATAATTAAGTATGCATAATATACACAGAAATAAAATAATATATACCTAAGATATAATACTATTTAAATATTATACAAAACTTCTGACCCTGCACTTCTTAACTTAAACGTAAAAGTTCACCTTAAGAGAATCGAAAGATGCACTACATTTTGATTGCTCCTAATTGGTGATAATAAATTCAAATAATGTATTAAAATGACGGACGAAGTAAATTTATTCTCTTTTCGGCAGATAATAGTAAGTCACAGTGTGCAGTAGTTGTTCACATAAACCTTTTAAGATATTAACATTTTCTTAAGTCAGATTGATTATAAGCATTTTATATGTGTGTATATGATATCTATTTATTGCGAGCAATATACGCCCGAGTTAAATTTTGAAATAAATCGTTTTGATATTTTAGTCTAATATATATTCAACTTTTTTGCCTACTGTATCTGAATAAATTAAGCATAAATTAATATAGACTAGAAAAATATAGGGAGACGGCGCCAACCAAACTGGAAACTGAAAAATAAAGTGTTAATGTCCAAACCAATCAAAACGAAAATACAACAAAACTAAAAAACCTGCAATAAAGACTTTTAAGAAGCACTACACTCATCTATATATGGTAACATATGTAATATACTTTATATATATATTTTTTAAGATTTGTGCTTCGTCTTTTATTCTATTTATTATATTTTTTATCGACTATAATATCATATAAGCGAGTAACATAGTAATTCATACTATGAGTCTTATTAAGTTGTATAATTTTATGTTATGCTACAATATAGGTCATTATGTCATTAATATCAATAATTTAGATCACAATACTACACCTGAGTTTATTGTTTCACAAAAAGCCAACAAAATATTTTATCATATCATTTTATTATACAGAATAAATTACTATTTATTGTTTTGATCCAAAATTTGATTAATCACTAGACCATAATGCATTAGAAAAACCACAAAACCGGTTGTCCGGCAAAAGATTTTGGTACTTCTTGCCCAAATGTAAGAAGCATTTTGCTGTTTTAATAAAGTCATGAACAAATTATTAGATATTATAAAGCCGAATATAAGTATAAGTTTATTGGAGTTTCCATCGCGAACTAAAATCCCATTGGACAAAAACCAACACCGTAACGGTAAAACGCGTGGGAGCTGAGAGATCACTTGTCAGGAAGCAACTATGATAAAAAATTTGATAACTCCCTAGCCCAGAAATAAAAATGATGTAATTTTTTAATATTTATGCAAAATTATTAATGTTGTAAAAACTTCTTTTATTCACTGATTGCTTCAAGTTTTTTTAAAGTTTTGTAAATACAGTCAAACTTCCATAACTCGAACTTCTATAACTCGAATTTTCTATAACTCGAACCAAAAACAGTGCACCAAGGTTTTAGAGAGCAAATTACATTCAATTCTGCTTTCATAACTCGAACTTCTATAACTCAAATTTCTCTATAACTCGAACAAAAATTTTGTTCCGTGCCAATAGGTATATGGGAAACTGCATTCTATAAGTCGAATTTTTGTTTGAATTGGAAATGCATTTTGCTATTAGGGGAAGTCATTTATTCCGAACCAAATGTTTAATTTTTTCTTTCATATGCAGCTTCTTTGTGCAAATGCTAGTCGCTGGCAGCGTGGTTTAAAGTAAATAAAATAACGTCCAATGCTACTCTTAGCCCTTATATTGAGCTTGACAATAAAATTTGTACATCAAGATTTCCTACAGAAATCTATAGCCTTAATTACTGGATCCCACTCTAAGCGCAACGAAAAATGATGATGAGGGTTCGGTGGATGTTAGTGTTCATCAGCCTTCCAAGGATAAAGTAGACGACTAATTTAAAATTCTGAATTTATATTTGCAAACGAATGCTACTACAATTGATCATCACTATAAGAGTATGAAGAAAGTGGAATCTGTTTTTGATTGCAAATAAATAATTATCTTAAAATATAGTTCTAGTTTCCATTAAAACTAAAAAAAAAATAAAAAAATTCTCTAATTCGAAATCTCCATAAGTCGAACCTTCACTTTGCAAAATTTGACTTCGAGTTATGGAAGTTTGACTTTATGTATATATATCATACAGGAAACCAATGCGTTTAATAAAATTTTTAATGCAGTCACCTACATTAGTACTTATTTGACGTGGTGTTATTCCAAAATGCCTACAAAGGACTTTATAGGAATCAAACAAATCACGACACAAGATGTGCTTTGATAGGCTCTTATCAATATTAAAGAACATTATGTTTGAATTCTGTATTACGAGAGAATATGAGGTATTTTTAATTCGTCAGCAAGTATAACTAGAAAATGTCGTACATAAAGCAGGTTGCCACAGGCGATTTATCTGAAGCTTCGAACCAAAACATTAATACAAGAAAATAAAATGGAACGTAGAGCAATTTATAGACTAAAAGAGTGGCTACCCATAAAATGCCAAAACGAAATAATATTACTTATGTTCAATACCATCTCGCTTGATATAGTGGGCTTTCTTGTCATTTTAACTATGTCATGAGGTATTGATAAAAGTCAAACTACTTCACAAATACTGAAATAATGTATCATTCTCCGTCTCTAGAAAGGAAGTTCTATATACAACATAGAATATTCTTTTCAACTTTGGCTGAAAGAAACATATATAAGATATGTTAGATCAATATGATAAACTTCAAATATATTTTTATATAATATATGTATTTTTATAATAAATACCAAATTTTTATCAACTTTAAATATCAGATATTAGTATTGCCAAAATCAGAGTGATACATTTGCAAAGTTATATATCAACGTAAACTGTACCGCAAAATAAATTAAAATTTATATTTTTACAAAAAGCGAACTATATTTTCAGTTCACAGTTTCAACAAATAAAAGAAAGAAGACAATTTATCTAAACTTTGGACTTTTTATGCATATTAATAATTTGATGAAATCTTGTAATGCTTTTGATAACGCCAAGGATAAATTTGACACATTCAGCGCAGATTTTGCATTTATTGTGGAATTTGTTATATTAAAATTTCGTTATTATTATTACAATTTGTTGCAATTGCAAATAAATTTGCACAAATAAGTTAGTTAATATTATGCATATTTATAAATTTGCAATTTACGCAAAAATGGTATATAAAAGTGAAGGCAATTTAAGAGACAACAAACAGTTTATCAGTTAACATTCGACTTCGTACATCGAAAAAAAAAACAATATGCGTGCTTTTGTGGTAAAATAAAA